AGCAGTGAACTACAGAATATATATATATATATATATATATATATATATATATATATATATATATATATATGTGTGTGTGTGTGTGTGTGTGTGTTTGTGTGTATATAACAAACCTGAAAATGTTCAGTTGTGGTCATATTAAATTATTCCGATTGCGTAAATAAATGTCGTACATTTTGGACGACACAAGTAATTTTCGGAAACTAGGTGACGTTACTTGTGACGATACCATGAAGACGTAAATCAGAATACAGAAGAGATTATTAGAACCTCATAAAAATATCTTCCTGTCCAAATTGGCCTGTTGGTGCCCACCAAGGATGTACGGGTTACCAAAAGTTCATAAAGTCGACATTTCACTTAGATCTATTTGTTCACGACGGGTTCCACACAGGGCGGATTAAGTGGTTTATTGAAGTTCTGGATCAGGCAGTAGTTTTCTATTTGAAGTATTGTGTGCTTGACTCTTTCCCTTTTCAGGCATATATCCGAAAACTCAATATTGACATTGAGTATTTCGTGTCTTTTAATATATCTATTTTGTTTACAAAAGTTCCACTTGATGAAACCATTTATATTTTTGTAGAATTTTTATATAGTGCCCCGTAAAGCTTCCATCGTTTCCTGGGATTCTCTTTATTGAGTTAATGGAAATGGTTACCAAGTATGTCTCCTTTAGTTTTAACAGTTCCATGTACCGACAGACAGATGGAGACAGATGGAGTTGCGATGGGTATTCCATTGGGACCACTCCTGGCTAACTTATTTGTTTGTTTTCATGAGAGACAATTATTAGATAAGTGTTCTAAGTTCATTGTCATTTCCGTTATGTTGACTATAAGTTTACATCGTTCTCTTCATGTAATGAAGCGGACAAATTCTTTCGATATTTAAATAATTTCCACCCCTCAGTATCTGTCTATATTTCATCATCTTTGTCGCCATATTAATTATAACATTTCGGGCTTTCATTATCTGTCTATATTTCTGAGATGAGGTATTATATACATTATTTACATTATTCGGACTATTGTCCTCATCTTTGTCGCCATATTTATTATAACATTTCGGCCTTTCAGTATCTGTCTATATTTCTGAGATGAGGTATTATGTACACTATTTACATTATTCGGACTATTGTCCTCATCTTTGTCGCCATATTTATTACAACGTTTCGGCCTTTCAGTATCTGTCTATATTTCTGAGATGAGGTATTATGTACATTATTTACATTATTCGGACTATTGTCCTCATCTTTGTCGCCTTTATTTATTACAACGTTTCAGCCGTTGTACGCTCCGGCCTTCTTCAGGTTGTTGGAAAGTTGAACTAAGCCCTTTATTTCGCTCACTGGAATGGACTGTTCCAGTTCTAAGTGCCATGTTTAATGGATGTCAGTTATCATGGCCACATGGCACAGTGGATAGTTAGATCCAGTGACAGGGCCTAAAGAGTGTGGGTTTAATACCCGGCTAAGGCAGTGGAGAATTTTCAGAGGGAAATTAACAGGAGATAACTGATAACTGACACCCCTTAAACATGGCACGGAAATAAAGGGTTCAGTTCGACATTACTACCACCTGAAGAAGGCCGGAGCGTACAACGGCCGAAACGGTGTAATAAATATGGCGACAAAGATAAGGACAATATTCCGAATAATGTAAATAATCTCCACCCCTCTTTGAAATATATTATGGAGGTGGAAGAGAACAAAATGTTACTCTTCCTGGATTTGTTGGTTGAGAGAACTTTGTCCTGATTTCTTACTTTTATAGTTATTAGGTTGGTGCAAAATAATGACGTAATAATGTCGTTTTTTGACGTATTTTTTAACGTCAAAAAACGACATTATTACGTCATTATTTTTGCACCAACCTAATATTTCCCAAGCGTAGCTTAGATGTGGCACAAGGCCGAAAGTACGGGGCTCCTGGTGAGGATCGAACTTACTACTCAGTCGTAATTGTTCTAGCGAGACAAACTTGCTAACCATTACACCACCTCGAGGTGTTCCTTACTAGTGTTTATAAGAAACCCATCCTTTCGGGGCTATACCGTAGTCGAGACAGGAAAATCAGTCTTGTCAATAACCTAACTCGTCGTGTTTTGATGTTATGTTCGGTGTGCAAGCTTGACGCCGAGCTTAGAAAGATTAAACAGCTCTTCCTGGTAAATGGCTACCCTGAATGTGTCATTACAATTGGACGTAACATTGCTAAGTTTAATGGAGTTAAATGTTTTTGTCCCACCGAGCTGTCCTGTATATATGTGACTATCGGGAACTGGTCTCGCTAGTCAGGAATACACCGATAAAATATCTTCTTTAGTCAGGTGGTGTTTTAATTCTGTATTGGTCCGGAACATTTTCTTTACCAGAAGGGGTTTTTGCCTCTGTCTGTAAGGATGTCTTGCCTGCCCATCAGAAGGGGTTCGTTGTTTATCAATGTAGGTAAGACTATCCAAAGGTTGGAGGTTAGAATCGACCAGTATGTCCCGGGCCAAAGATGCAGAAATGTGCCTTTGACATCCAGGTGCTCACAGGCTCATGAGTCCGCTATCGGCGAGAACTTATTTAATTCGGTTCTTGCAGGACGGACTACACTCCGGGTGTCTTCTCTGTTTTGCACAGGGCATAGACTAAACTCCACCTTGATATGTTCGAGTCTATTTTTATTAATAAATAACGTCCGACCCTGTATAGGCATTGATAATTAAAACATCAATTAGCACTTTTCGGTGAATCCAGCGCCAATACTTGGCCAATCTAGGGAAAATATTTTTTTATTTTTCACCCTATTGTCGATGTTATTTTAAAATCAGTTGTCGAATTTTTTTTTTCTTTTCATCAATTTTGTTTTATGCCGAACATATATTTGTGAAGATGGGTTGTCTTTGCATCATTTTTAGTAATAAATTATGATCCCTTTCATAACCCTGTCTTGTAGTGTCTACAAAAACTTGGTTATATATATATGTATATATGTATATATATATATATATATATATATATATATATATATATAGATATAGATACATAGATACATAGATATACATAGAATTATATATATATATATATATATATATATATATATATATAGCATATTTAAGTTGATAGGTTC